CTTCGGCATCAATTTTTTCGCTTTCCATAACTAGCTTCTCTATTCTCTTGAGAAATTCTTGCATCAGTTTGGCAAAATTCTCTGGCATTTCAGAAGGTTTTGCGTTTACGAATAACTTTTACACTCTCGATTTTGCATCTTTTCTTTGCTTTGTATACTTCTGTTTCTTGTACGGGCAGTTTTAGCACGGTCAATTAGAAATAGCCATTTTGCCTCCAGTAAGTGATTGCTTTTGCTTGGCAAATGCCTTATTGAACTGCAAATTTTTGATGGCACAATATTATATTGCAGCTGCGGCGGTGCTCGAATTTGCTATATATTTCACGAAACGTTTGGCCGCGTGTTGGAATCGATCAATCCGCTAGATAATCTGACGCAGCTTGATATACTTACAGCTATTCGCAATGCTACGGTGAGAAACTGGATCTTCCATATTTCACTGTTTGTTGAAGAGAAAAGCATTAGGAAGTTTCACACTGCCGACAGTAGTAATCGTTGGAAGCGTTTTCATTGGTTCCTTGTCTTCAAAGGTTGTCTGAAAAACTGCGGGGAGTTTGACTACATAAGATTCTTAAAAACTTGTTGACACTCAACGTTATTGTGATAAATGATTTAGGGTCCCCGGCCGGCTCTTTTCGTGCCAGAAGTTAGCTTCGAGTTGCTAGTGAAGAAACAAATCCGTCGGTTGGAAGAGCCAAGTTTACGTTGTGTGGAACTGGTGCATGAAGAATTGCAGCGGATTGTTCAGCACTGCGGCATTCATACGCAGGTTTTCTCGAACTTTTTTTTGCTGCCAGATTTTGTTGTTTAATCTTTGTTCTTGCGAATATCCTGAAATACAAGACTATTTCCAAAAAGACGTAGAAAAAGCGTAAGATACTGGCTGAAGGCATGTGGCGCAGATATATAATTAACGGTAGCGATGGGCCGTTAAATTTTTCGATTCGCACAAATGATCAAACCCCACTCCCTGTTTTGTCCCACCAGCGACGGATTTCCCTGTCGATATCCACGGCGATTCTGGTAATCTGGGTATCAACTTAATTCGAGAAAAAATATGACCTTCGCATAGCAGCTAAGTAGGTGTAGCACCCAAAAATGGTTTGGATTATGCTGCTATGCTTAAAGCAGTAATTTGACAAGATTCTTGACAGATCTCTCTTGTAAACGTAGCTAAGGAGCAAATCATGGTTTTCTTATGTTTGTTGATACCGAATTACTGGAGAAACGAGTTTGCATGTTTAGCAGGAGATGCAGCGGTTCCCTCGTTTGTATGACAAAATCAACGAAGTGGTGAGCAATGTGTTGAAAAGTCGTTTAAAACCAACAAATGAAATTGTGGAGAATTTA